GAGCTGAACCATGTGGTAAGATTGCAGCAGTCATCTGCAGTCAGTTGAGTGAGTGGTGGAACTTAAAGCCCCTGAAGGAGACTCCCTTCCACGATCGGGCGTAGTGTAGGGATCGGGGCTTGGCGGTGTTACCAGCTCTGGAGGCCGGGAGCCTTGGGTGGTCTGTAGCCAGGAGTGCCCGAATAGTGGTTCTAAGTGCGGGATAAGCCTATAGCCGTGCAAAAGAGTGCAGAGGAGAAACTGAGATTGCCAGGTTAGTGGACTGGAGCTGGAAGTAGATAGCTCTGATCTAAACCAGGCTTTATCAGGTGATTTTGCCTTTTTTATATAATAAACTTATTGCATATTATTTTTTATTAATTATTTAAACAATAATTTAAATGATGGTCAGAACCAGGCTCAATGGCCCATTTAATATTCTTATAAATACATAATTATTAGAAAAATTTAATAAGAGTGTAGATTATCTATGACTGAATGCATCTGGTTAGAAAACTGTATTAAATTTATCAAAATTTAAATAACTTTTAATAAGTAATCTAAGAAAAAAATTGATTACAATTCATTTAAACAGATGTTTAGCATAGACTAGACAGTGACTAATACACAGGGTGTTGTAACAAGGATTACATCTTCTTACCCAGCAAATTAAGCTTGGAACATTTTATAAATCAATGATGCTTATGTTTAATAAGTTTATCCCCCACAAAACATTGTGTAGTTAGAAACATTTCTTTAGAATTGTGTTACAGCCAAGAACACGTAATACTCCTTCAATATCCTGTTTAATATGTCACATCAGCACTCTGTATTGTTAATGTACCCTTCTTATTTTAAGTAGAATTTGTAAAGTATTAACAGCATCTTTATTTTTTTTATATATATGTTTACAGCTGGTTTTGTGTGCTGCCCTTTGCATAATGTGTCATTTATATTCACCAGTGAGTCTCTGCCTGCCGCTGTGTTTAGTAGGGGGAAAGCTTGTTACCTCTGTCTGGCCTCTGACACCAGTCCTACTCAGGGGTTAAGTCCTAGGTAACATAGTGTGGGAACTCACCCAAGATCCATCCCCCCCTGAAAAAAAAAGTTATACGCTTGTATGCAAGAGGGACAGGGGCTGAGTAGGGGAACAGGGCTGAGGAGGGGGACAGGGGCTGAGTAAGGCGGACAGGGGCTGAGTAAGGTGACAGGGGTTGAGGAGGGGGGACATGGGCTGAGGAAGGGAACAGGGGCTGAGGAAAGGGACAGAGGCTGAGGATGAGTGACAGGGGCTGAGAAAGAGTGACAGGAGCTTAGGAGGGGGGAGCTTAGGAGGGGACAAGGGCCAAGGAAAGGGACAGGGGCTGAGGAAGAATGACAGGAGCTTAGGAGGGGGGCAGGGGGTGAGGAAGGGTGACAGGGGATGAGGAAGGGGGACAGGGAATGAGGAAGGGGGACAGGGACTGAGGAAGGGGGGCAGGGACTGAGGAAGAAGGACAGGGACTGAGTAAGAGGGACAGGGGCTGAGGGGTAGAGGGCTGAGGAAGAGGGACAGTAGCTTAGGAGGGGGGCACGGGCTGAGAAGGGGGGGCAGGGGCTGAGGAAAGGGACAAAGACTGAGGAAAAGGGACCTGGCTGACGAAAGGGGACATGGCTGAGGAAAGGGACAGGGACTGAGGAAGGGGACATGGCTGAGGAAGAGGGACAGGGACTGAGGAAAGGGACAGGGGCTGAGTAAGGGGACAGGGACTGAGGAAGAGGGACAGGGCCTGAGGGGGACAGGGCTGAGGAAGAGGAACAGGAGCTTAGGAGGAGGGGCAGGGGCTGAGGAAGGGGGGCAGGGACTGAGGAAACGGACAGGGACTGAGGAAGAGAGACAGGGACTGAGGAAAGGGACATGGACTGAGGAGAAGGGACAGGAACTGAGGAAAAGGACAGGGACTGAGGAAGGGGACAGGGACTGTGGAGGGGGACAGGGGCTGAGGAAAGGGACAGGGACTGAGGAAAGGGACAGGGACTGATGAACAGGGACAGGGACTGAGGAAAGGGTCGGGGCTGAGGAAGGGGACAGGCACTGAGGAATGGGACAGGGACTGAGGAAAGGGACAACGTTCCTGCTGTGGAAAAAGTGCATGAATGCCGTTCCCACGCTTTCCTGCAGAACTCGAGCGCTGGTCCTATTATGTTTGCCATTTGATGCTGGTCCAGATGCTAGGGGTGCTGGAAATGCAAGAAAAGTGGGCATGAAATAAAATCATAATGTGAAACTTTGTGGCCATGGTCCCATATCACCATGTGCATGCTACAGATGCTACTGCATCTAGTACATCTGCTTTTACTCATCTTGACATCTCTCTATTACTTTATCACCTCTTTAGTTTATCTTTGTATAATCACATCATATGCCTCTAGTTCCAACAATATATTTTTCATTTTGCATTGCAAAGAAATACCAAACTAGATTGTGCCCAAAATAACTCAACATACATTTCCCTTTACCTTTAGGTCTCATTTTCTCACTGAAGGTAAAACATTTCTATACCTTGGTTTCACTGTGTCTTTCTGTGTCTATGCAGAGAGACTGTAAATGGTGGCTCCCTCCTTTCAATCATACTCAACAGAAACTTTTGTAGATCAATCTTCATGGCTGCCCTCTAGCTGCCAGGGAGGAGTGAACACAACATTTTTTTTTGCAAAAGCGGCTTATTATCCCCAGTATAGTACAGATACCTGATATCAAATGAGTTTATTTAATGTAATCTTCATGTATTCCAAAAAATGTTTTTGTGTTCCGTGACACTTCTTTAAGCAGGGTACATGACAATTTTTCTCTTTTTGTCAACATCCATTGCAAAGATAACAAGTGTATTTATTTATGCCAATATTTCAAATGCTGTGTGATATATTAAAAATGAAAAGTAAACCCTAATAATGGTTGAAGTGATATAATAGGGCACCAGGAGTGCCCCAGTACTGCTTTCCCCAATACTAGTAGTGAATCTATTTTTGAATTGTTATGGGCATTTGGATCTGAATTGTTTAATTTTAGTGTATACAGGTTAATTTGAGCATGAATTGTATTAGTTTTCTGTAATTTTCCATTCTATGTAAGTTGAACACTTTCACACACTTGTACTGATGAAGTATATAAACAATGGAAATTAGTTTAGTGATGTCAAGTCAGCCCCAGGAATATTCTATAGTTGATGACTTCTTATTTGAGATCTGCTACCATAGCTACTAATGCCAGAGAGCTCTCCTGAGCTAAGCACGTGACAAAGAATGAGCTAGATGTGCAGCTATTGCAAACTAAGATTTCACATAGCCCAAAGAAAACATGCAAAGCAAATGACATGTATATTTTCTTTGAGGGTATGTCTACTAAATCGCGATTTTTATAGAATGTCCCTTTAATTTAAAAAATATACACCAAAAACACTTTCAAGTTATTTCAAAAAAGTTTCTAAAATTGTGTTTCAAAATGTTATAATACAATAAAGTCCCTAGTACCTATATTACATACATTTTTATTTATTTTTAAATTATTTATTTAAGAAACAATAGAGTCTTTGCAAGACATGCTAACATATGCATATAAGAACAAATCTCACAGCACTTCTCACAATGGAGAATCCCAAAGCAAATCCCTCCATTAAAGAGAGATCTCCCCTTTGAGAAAGAGAAGCAAGAAACAGAGAATATTGACAACACTAATGAATTCAATCAATAGGGGAATTCTACATATGCAAAGAGAGAAGGGAACACAAAACTATAAAACATCATCTTGACCTTAGATACCTCAGCACTGTAGAAATATCTAACAGTGTCTACTTAAACCTGCTGGCCCTCAGACATAAGACTAAACATTCTAAACAAAAATAATAAAGTGAGTGTTACCTGGTGTTAATTAGGGTTGTTTATATTCTCTGTTCCTTGCTCCTCCTTCTCTAAAGGGGAGATCTCTCTTTATTGGGGGGTTTTGTTTGAGAAGTGTTGTGGGTTCCTGGCCAGATTTGGGATTTCTTTTTAATAAAGTGAATTTATTATTTACCCTTTTTCCATTACTGCTATCTGTGTTTCTTGCTTTGCATTTAGCCCTATAAGTTGATTTAGCTTAGACCCATGCTGTTGGGTTTTCTCTCATATTTAATGAGGATTTGCCACTTACAGGGGTTCTAAAGAATTTGGGTTAGCACTCATTTTGAAATGATTAATTATATGTAGTCTAGTGATTGTGTCTATATTATCTTAGTTTAAAGGGATTCTCTAGTGCCAGGTAAACAAACCCATTTTCCTGGCTCTGTAGAATCCAGGAGTCCCCCCTCCCTCCTGCTCCCCCATGCAACGTTGCTGAAGGTGTTAGACCCCTTCAGACACTTGACTGAATCCGGCACAGATGTCCCTCGGTGCTGGGTCAGGCTCCACCTATGCTCCTCCCCCACTGAAGTCCGCTGGCAGGGGAGACCTAATGTGCATGTACGGTAATGGCCGCGCTCACATTAGGATTTCATCATAGAAAAGCATTATTCAATGCTTTCCTATGGGGATTCCAGTGAAGCTGGGGGTCCTCATGCATAGCGTGAGGACGTCCAGCATCATTTAGAGTTGTCTAAGAACCTGGAAGTCCCTGTAGTGGGGGAGAGGGGGTGTTATGGTCCCTTTTTCTCCAAAATGGCACCTTATTTAGATAATGGCCTGTTCTCTAGGGGCCAACCAACCCATGTACGTTATTCCTAAAACATATTAGGCATTAAACATATTAGGCATAGAACTTATTAGACATTAGTCATAAAACATATGAAGCAAAAAGAACTGTAAGAAGAGTATAACTGATATCCTTAATCCAAATCAATGGTAAAGTCCATCACGCTGCAGTACTTTAGCCTGTTTATGTGTCAACGTGGCTGCAAATAGTCGCCTTATGAACTGTGGTAATTCTCTGTTGTCTATGGAGTCATGTATTTCTCGTATTTTTAGATTGCGCTGCTGTGTTATGTCGTCTAGGTGTTCTACCTTAGCACTTAGCGCTGCACGATTAATACCTCTTGCCGGTGTGTATTGGTTGAGGCTTGTTTGAGTCCGAGGCTTTGGACCTCCTCCTCTGTGGCCTTGATCCTGCCCGTTAGGGTGCTCAGGTCTGTCTTTAGGCTCCTCATTTCTGAGGCTTTGAGGTCTGTCACCATTGTGGTGCTGTCGGTCTTTGTGGCCCACTGTGGGTCTGGCTGCCTCTGGGAGAAGGCTTTGCCGCCGCGGGTCCGAGTCAGGAACTCCTCCGGATCAAAGTCCCTGTCCTCTGAGACTGAAAATGGCAGACATGCTCCCATGAGGTGAGTCAGGCCCAAAATGGAAGACATGCTCCCATGAGGTGAGTCAGGGAGCATGTCTGCCATTTTGGGCCTGGAGGGCTCTGAGAGCGTGAGGCCGATATCTCGAGTTTGACCTCCGTTTGGACCCAGAGACTTTCGGGAGTGCTTCCCCATGTCTTCTCCTCTCTTGTGGGGCCCCAGTGGGGGTGACTGTGTCGCCTTGACAGGTAGGATTTGGGGCTATTTGCCGTCGCTGTTTCGGAGCTCAGGCTGTGTGCACCGTATAGTTTGCCAGCTAGCTCCGCCCCGACTTTAATTTTTAAATTCACTTTGAATTCTCACCTTAGTCAAGAACCCTGTAAAAATTAGAGGTGAAATTGTGCCAAGCATTCAATATTTTATGAAATATGAGTAGACTATTATAAATGGTTGCTGCCAATTGATCCATTTAATTATTATGTTCCATTTTGACTCTAACCTTTCATAGAAGTGCAAACCTCAACCTAGTAGCCAAATAGATTGGACGTTGCGGACGTGATGACCCAGGATGAATAATAAATCTAACCTGAAAATGTGTTTTTTTCATTGTCGTTGAGGAAGTCAAGTAGGACAAATGTGTTGGATGACTTGTGATGATTTGCATGATTGCATTTGCTGCTTTTAAATGATATGTAAGTTAATAAACATTGTTTGGGATATTTTTATATATTTTAGTTATATTGATTGTCCTTCTCTTTTCGGTTCATGGTCCAAACCTAATGGAGTAAGATCTGATCCTGTGAATCTGGTCTACTGATGGCACACAACACGATATAACTTTACTGGAGGATGTTGTAAAGGCACATTTTAATTTATCAAGTGTGGGTGGGCAGTTGGAATAATACACTAATATTTTATGTTACATAGTTACACACTATGTTTTGTTTTGATCTTTTAATATTAGCCCCTATTGCATATACATTGGAATTTGGAGACAAGAGGAAGTCTCAGAAATCTCCATTGATTTCAAAGGAAGTTATTTTGATTTTGAATTTATTTACACTTTTTTGCACTTAAAATTGTGATTGTCACATTACTATATATATATAATAGTGGGTTTCCCCCTCCCCCATAGCCAGAGATCAGGTGGGGAGTTAGACAGTAAGTCCTGAGAGATCTTAATAACTACCACTGAGACCATAAGGACCAGGTACTTTATTGTCCTTTAAGGAGAAACTTCATGCATATTCTCAATTTCTCATCTTCCAAAGGGACTCTAAAAGCAAGGGGGAGGGAAGAAGAGACAGGGAATCAAAACCTCTTTTATGGATTCTATATGTGTCTAGTGGGAGACAAAGTGGCTCAGAGTGTGGTTTTACAGGGAGTAATAATAATCTCAGAAAGCAGTATGAATGGCTTCTGAAGAGGTTATAATGTTCCCAGAGGAGCCTTTGCCTGCTGAAATAGGCTCATGTGAGCAAGATAATTTAAAGTCCTGCCTAATACTAATAAAGTATTTATCTCGGGACCATGAAATTTGATGGGCTACATAATCTAAAAGGAGACATTTAACATGAAGTCTAATGACTAGGAGTAAGGGAAGTTTTGTTCATGGATTCTGCATCTCAGAGACCTTTTTTCTTTTTTAAGTGGAATATAGCTATGGATTTAAGTTTTTCACAAGTAGCTATATATATCTCGCTTTATGAACAGACCAGACAGCAGATCCAGGACCCCGTGTGGAAGAGGGTTTGACAAAATAATTCTGAACAACTTGGCTAACATCATCCACAACCTCTTGGTCCTTCAGTAATGCTACAGTAACCCCTTAGTGACCAGGCTATTTTTCAATTTTATTACTGTTAAGGACCAGGGCTCTTTTTACATTTCTGCAGTGGTTGTGTTTAGCTGTAATTTTCCTCTTACTCATTTACTGTACCTACACATATTATATACTGTTTTTCTCGCTATTAAAGATACCATTATTTTCATCATATCATATAATTTACTAGAAAAAAAAAGTAAAATATGATGAAAAATGGAAAAAAAAACACAGCTGGCCATCATGCACACATGTCCCATTTGGAACATTTTTGAAGCCGGCCAATGCAATTTACCCCCGTCAAACCATATGTTTCTGAAAGGTAGACACCCTAGGGCATTTCACATGGTGGCATTTTAATACTTTACATGCACTAATTCTACCACCAGTCTCTGTCAAACGTTTGGGTGGTCATTTTTTTTTTTGTGTGTGTTATTTTTCACACACATTCTACTTTAGGCTCAGATTCTCAGCTCCTGTTAGGTGTTCCTGCCACAGGACACCACAACATGTGTTTGGCAACATCTCCTGAGTACAGTGATACCACCCATGCATAGGTGTGTTGGGTTCTCTGGGGGCTAAAAGACCTTATTTGAAGGGTGCGCATCCCAGTTTTCCAACTTGGAATTTTCACAGCTGGCCATCATGCACCCATGTCCCATTTGGAACATTTTTGAAGCCAGCCAATGTAATTTACCCCCGTCAAACCGTATGTTTCTGAAAGGTAGACACTCTATGGCATTTCACATGGTGGCATTTTAACACTTTACATGCACTAATTCTACCACCAGTCTCTGTCAAACGTTTGGGTGGTCATTTTTTGTGTGTGTAATTATTCACAAACATTCTACTTTAGGCTCAGATTCTCAGCTCCTGTTAGGTGTTACTGCCACAGGACACCCCAACATGTGTTCGGCAACATCTCCTGAGTACAGCGATACCACCCATGCATAGGTGTGTTGGGTTCTCTGGGGGGTGCAGAGCAAAACGTCTGATATGCGTTTTTCAAATTTTACATATCTTGTTTGCCTATCTTCTTTTTGGGGGCCTTATCAGAAATCTCAATGTATTTTTGTGCCATGAGCGTGCATATATTTGAAAAGGTGTTGTATATGGAGTGTTTTGATGCCTTAGATGCAATCGTTTTAGTCAAAAAATTGGAGAAAGTGTGTGGTGGTAACTGTTCAATTTTCATTGTTACACACACAATGCTTTTTGACTGTGATTTAGGAGAGCCTGTTGTTGGTTATTGCAAGAAAACACCCCAGGTTGTTTTCTGCAAGGCCTCCTTAGTACACCCATGCCCCCCATGCATAGGTTTGCCAGGATTTTGGGAAGGTATGGTTACAATTGTATGACTTTCAATTTGAGTTGAAATTGAGAGTATTTCTTCTGATTGGCCTATCATTAGCTTGAGGCTAATCACATACCCCAGTTTTATATATTGCCATGAATGTGTACATACTTGAAACGTAGACACCCCAAGGTATTGTATATGGAGTGCTTTGGTGCAACTTTTTTACACCCATGCCCCCCATGCATAGGGTAAATGTAACAAAAAAAAAAAAACACCAAAAAAACTGAACGGCAAATGTAAAAAAAAAAAGGACCAGTGTGTGGTATCGTTTGAAGCAGTCCCCAATGCAGAGTCCAGGCTGCCCAGGGCAATCAGGACAGTGATATACAGTATCTTTTCTCTGCCCCCTCTTAAAACATACTCTGCATCTTTTTGGGGGATTCTGCTTTGCTGCAGTAGGGGGGATTTAAAAAAGAAAATGTGTAGCCCCAACTATGCTCTCGCCCATCACCGCCCGGGGAGCAGGTGCATCATGGTACAAAATCCCCGAAACGATCTGGAGCTGAAACTAAAAAACTCAGCTGCGTCCCGGGGTTTGATTTTTTGAACAACAAAAAAGCGTTGTGGGTTGCAATCTGCATTAGGTAGATTGCAACCTTTTTGTACCAGGCCCTTGTCTTTCGTATAATTAGGTAGAGCTGCAGCAGCTGATCTGCTAGATCAACCCCACCCATATGCCGGTTATAGGCCTTGATGCACACTGGCTTCCTTGTGGTCTCAGCGTGGATGGTGGTAAGAAGGTACACATCCTTCTTGTCTCTGTACTTAACTGCCAACAGCTCCTCTTGGCACAGAGCTCCTCTTGGCTCAGAGCTGAGGTCTCCCCCCTTCTAGCCGGGTGCGTGCAAATTGTCCTGGGAAACCTGTGCTGTTCTTTTTGATTGTACCACAAGCTACTGTATCAAAACAGTACAGTAGCTTGAACAAAGGGACACTTGTATAACAATTGTCAGTATACAAGTGGTACCCTTTGTTCATCAGGGGGAATATCAGGTCCCAGACAATCTTGCCACTGGTTCCCATATGTTCTGGGCAACCTGGAGAGTCAAGGTGGCTATCCTTTCCCTCGTACACCCGGAAGGCCTGAGTATACCCAGTCTTACTATCACAGAGCTTATACATCTTTTTCATAATTTAAGTTTATTGCTTTACATTCAGTTGATACATCTGCGACATTCCATTTTAACATTGCCACATTTTACAGAGTACAGGGACAGACACAATTAAAACCCGTGCCAGGTCAATAACAAACAGTATACCATACATAGTTTCAAACATTGACCCCTATGTTGTTGTGTGCCATAATGTCTGGTGGCTGTCCCATCTATACACTCCCATCACTGGAGACTTGCTGTAAATGGTAGAAAGGGTGGTGCTCCCTCTCCTGTCTGCTTACTGTAGGTGTGAGGCCTACCTATGTCTTCTCTTATAGGAGATACAGCATTAGAAGTGGAAATGAGAGAACTCCACAGCTGGGGAGGTATGTGTGCGGGTGGGCGCAGATGATATCTGTACATGCGTAAGTGTATCCAAAAATAAAAAAAAACACAAGCAAAAACAAACCCATAAACGTTAACCTCCTAAAATTCGAACAAGGGGATACTGGTATAGTCTTGTCCAAGATGTTGGTGAAGTGTGTTATAGTGTGGGCGTGGTCTCTAGTCCTATATGCGAGCATTAGCTCCTTGCTTGTTCAGGGTTCTAGAGTATGCCTCGCAACTCGAACTCTCACGTATTCTCTCCCTTTTCCCTTTTTTTAACGTATTTTTTTTCCTTTTTCTTTTTTACTACCCTCGGCCTCTCTTATCTCAGCAGTAGGGGGTTAGAGGGGTATAGGGCCTCCCATGGCTCCCAGATTTGTCTTGTTTTAGAGTTAGCTCTTAGGGATAGGATAGCCATACATTCATACGCGTAGTTAAGTTTGATTCTGTCCACTAGCATTGTTGCCGTAGGGCATAGGCCCAACTTCCAATTAAGAACTACAAGTGCTCTAGCTGCCATGGCGATATTTGCCAC